GTTGCTCTCTGCTTGGAGCAGCCAAGAGGTTCTTGCTGCAAGGGTTGACAGCAGCAATAGAGCTGTGAATTTGTAGAGTGGAAGGGAAGGCTGAGAGGAGTTTGTGGTTCCACACACACACACTTTCTAGCTCTGCCTCCATTACTAGAAATGAGAAATGGAAGTGAAATCAGAGAAGTCAAGGAGTCCAGGCTAAGGAGCACAGAACCATGAGCTCTTCGGTGGAACACCAACAACCTGAGAAATGTTGTGACAGCCACACACCCATCCACGCCAAAGGTAGGCAAAAAAGACCAGCCCAGGTTCCATCAGATAATATTTTGTACCATTTGTGTGTGCTCCTATTTCCCTTGCAGGAAAGGGAGTCTATAAATGCAATAGTTAAAAAATAGATTAAGGAGGCCAGGGCAGCAGATTTGGGGTATGTGTGTGATAAGGTGAGGGAGAAGAGAGTTTCAGCTTTATTCAAGTTGATGCCCTTTGTTGTTGATGACATACCATGAATTCACCATTTTGTGGTCCTGTCCCTTTTTTCTGCTCCCTTAGGTGGGGCAGCTGTTTTGTTCTATGCCAGTCACCAACGGCAGCCATCTTGTGACTGACACCCATGGTGCTTTCTCAAAATTCTAAATTACCTCACAAGCCCCAAACAGTTGGCACTCCCCATGGCATCCCAACAGCAACTGGAGGGCATCGCTTTGATTAACCCTGTCTAAGACCTTTCTTGGTGCTTAAAAACCGTTTTTGTGTTAGGGTTTGCTGTGGGTACTCCTGCTGTTGTTTTCACACACCGTGACTTGCGAGAAGGATTACCTACCAAACATTCCAATTTAATTCAGATAAGAGCTGCTGTCTGCTCTATCGGTCTCAAAAGGAATATCAAAGCTAGAAAAGGACTCGAGAGCTTTCTAAAAAGAATAATCTCTCAGCACGTCTTAATAGGACACTGTCAAAAATTCAGGCTGCTTTGAAGTTGCTAGACTCTAACTGCAGCAATCTAATCTTACTTAGATGAAATAAGCAGGTAGTGGAGCACAGAGGTAGGGACAGGGAAGGGTTGTTGCTTTTTTTTTTTACTGCTGAGAATTTGAAAGAAAACAGCTCTTCTGAGCTATCAAAATATGCCGTACAGTCTTAAGCAGAACCTAGTTCTATTGTACACACTAAAAAAAACAGGATAGTGAACCTTTTACAACCTGGTGGGCAGGCAAAAGTAGACGGAACAACAAATGTATATATATATATATATAATGTCTCTCTGTGTAACTAGCATACTGCAGATATATCTATAGCATCTATATCTATATTTTAAGATGTATTTTAATTAATTGATTGCCTGTTTTTATGTTCTTTGTATACTGTGTTAGTTTTATGTTAGCCGCGCTGAGCCCAGCTCCGGCCGGGGAGGGCAGCGTACAAATAAAACTTTATTTATTTATTTATTTATTTATTTATTTATTTATTTATTTAATCTGCAGTATGCTAGTTACGCAGAGAGACACACCCTGCTTTGTGCTTCATCCAGGCAAACGAGAAGCATGATCAGAGTTCACAGACACATTCCTGCCTTGCTAGTCTGCTGTTCTAAGATAAACGCTCATCAAAAATCATCTGTACTTGAGGCCCTTAGATGGTACATATGAAATAATGTCCAAAAATGTGGCCTATACCAAAATGTATGCAGCCCATAGCTGTCAACCTTACCTTTTTTTGCGGGAAATTCCCTTATTCCAGCGCCGTTTCCCGCTGCTATCCCGGATTGTTAGATATCCCGTAGACTGTCCTCAGGACAGGTGAGGCTGCTGATCCCTTATTTTTGAGGTTGCGGATCCCTTGTTTTCAAATCTGAAAGTTGACAGCTATGATGAAGCCCCTTCCAAGCATGTCTACTCCAAAGCAAATCCTATTGAGTTCAGTTGTGCTTACTTCCAGGTAAGTGGGTAAAGAATCACATGAAGCCACATGTGAAGAACCAAATATGGATATGGGTGATCAGTGATTTCCCCCAGTGTTTTTGTAAGAAAAATAAAAATGCAGAAGCAACCATTTCAAACTTGCCTGTGTAGATTTATTTTAATGACTATGTCCATTTCAGACTTAAGCATTCTTTAAAATATGTATTTGCCGCTCTTCTTATTAAATCTGAACTGCTAGGCATGGCATATAGCAATGAGAGAAGCAATTTCCAAATCTTCTGGAGGGAAAAGCCATATAAATGGAAGGGATTGGCGTTATGAAGTATTAACAGGATGTTAAATTGCTGCATATCATATTTGCAATGGGCAGTTTACAATCTGTTCATCCTGATGGATTTAGCACTAGGGAGTCTGAAGCCCTGGCTCGGCAATTTCTGTCTGCTGTTGGTAATTTATGGTGAAACTGTACCCACAAATAATGTGTCAGCACAGAATGAATTTGGGACCCAGCTCTGCCCAAACAGCTCCATTATGTTCTCAGGGGCAGTAATGAATGGGAAGTAAGGAAAAGTTGCCGTAGAGATAATGAATCTGAATACTAATGGCTTGTGCTTGCGCAAAAATAGGATTGCAATTTATCAGGCGTTACCAAATCCATTCGGTGCCTCAAATGAGGGTTTTTTTGGAGGAAAAAGATGCCATCATTTAAGAGCAAGTTAGGTTTAGTTTTGCATTTTACTGTAACCCTTTAATAACCTGCGTGCAAAAACTCAAAATGGAAACACTGTCCCTCTGGTCTCCAGATCCGCACATACACTTTGAAACTGCCTGCCTGCTTATGATCCACCAGAGAATCCATTGTCTAATAGAATGGAGGTGGGAGTGCTGTTGAGTTCTGGAGGACTTTCCCCCTATAATATGTTTCAGAAATTCTTTTCGAAAGGAAAAAAAATATGATCACAAATAAAATTGGGAGGAAAAATTAAATGTGATTTCCTATTATATTAGGCTCTTCTATGTTTTCTTCCAGGGGTGCCAACTTGAATAAAATATTGTGGGGGCCCAGGTAAGCCCCATCCCACATAATCAATCACATGATGCGCTACACACACACACTATGTGAATGGGAATGCCCATCAACTTTGTGGGGGCCCAGTCCCCTCAAATATTTTATTGTGGGGGCCGAAGCCCCCACGGCCTCTAGGAGTTGGCTCCTATGTTTTCTTCAGTTCTCGTGTTTTTTGTATCTGGATGCACTAAACATTCCTTTTTATTGTTAAAAATAAAGGGCAGATGATTTATATTGCCAAGTGAGGATGCAGAACAGAATCTATATTATCCCTCTGCCTTCAGGATGACTAGACATGTATAGAAACTTAAAGTGAGAGCATTTGTCAATGAGACAGCTACCAAATCAATTATCAGGAACTGATGAATGAAACCCCAAGAACCTATGCTTAAAGCAGTGGGTCACAAACATTTTCCCTCTGGGCCACACTTTCAGAATAAAACTTTCCTCACGCCACTCCTTTAAAAAGAAGAAGAAAGAAACAACTCCTAGCAGTGCTTGATTTATAACATACAATGCAACTACAGTGGTATCTCCGGTTGCGAACGGAATCCGTTCTGGAGGTCCGGCCATATCCCAAAGTTTTCGCAACTGGAGAGACTGCTTCTGCGCATGCGCAAGCGGTGAAAAACTTCTTGGTTTGCCACTTTCGCAACCCAAAGTTTACCTTACCCAAGGGTAACATAACCTGAGGTTCCACTGTACTTTATAATATGATCATGGGACATCCAGAAGTTATAATGTGGATACATAAGAACATGAATCATTCCCAAAATATAATTGTAAAAGAGTATCTTATGTACGTATATAAACTCAATGAGAGGTATGAGCTTGCTTTTGCTGGGTAATCTCGTTTATATTAGGTCTAATCTGAGCCAATCAAACTCATCTCCTCATCAGTACAAAGAAGCCTTTCTCTTTTCTGATCTTTCATATTTGTCAGAGTTGAAGATCCGTCTTCACAACATGTCTGAAATATACTCAGAGTCGCGTTGTGATTTCATGCTCTTTATTGCAGCTCTTAAAACAGTGAATGAATTTCCCCTCTGGCTTTATATACATTATTTACACAATGGGTCCCATCGGATTGGCTGATTCTACTTCCCTCCTGGAGCCTGATTGGGCTGCTCCTGCAGGCCAATCAGTTCTTGCATTCTAGGATCCTACCTGTCTAATAGGCTGATTAACTTCCTCCTCGGGCCTTATTGGGCTGCTCCTGCAGGCCAATCAGGTTGTTGCATTCTAGGATCCTACCTGCCTATTCTAGGATCCAAGCTTAGTACATAACAATGTCTGTAGAGCATATACTGTAGAAGAATAGCCAATGCTCTTGAAGAGAAGCATGGGTGCTGTTTCTGGTTGTATATCCATACTACACTGAAATGTTTAAATGTTTCTTTGATTGCTCTTGAATCTTCCCGCCGTTTGCCATCCTCTCCTGCCACACCCTTTGAGAGCACTGCTGGCTGAAAGCAACATGATAATTTCTCGTTCTAAATTGCTGGTTCTTTACCTTATCAATAGCATCTAAACTGGACCGCATTCAGCCAGTATTGGGAAAGGAGCACAAAAAAGATTCATAGTCTGAAGAGGAACTGAATCCTGGCTTCCTGCTAGAGAACCAACCACTTTAACAAATTGGGAGCATAGCTAAAGAGGTAAGGGAAATGAAGAATTATGATAGCAAGGAAGACTAGGCAAAGCCCTTAATCCAGTAAAATCTCATAGAAATCAATGGTGCAGGTTAGCTGCAACTATGGCTATCTACACACCATGCATTTAAAGCACCTTTCCGCAAAGAATGCTGGGAACTGTAGTTTTCATCTCGCAGAGCCGCAATTCCCAGCACCCTTAGCAAACTGCAGTTCCCAGGATTCTTTGTGCTTTGAATGTGTACACAGCCTAACGTTCTCAGGATTGGGGCCACTTCTCATGAAATTATACCACTGGTACATCCAGCCCTTTACTCTGGGTTTATTTCCTTTGTACAACAGCTATCTTGAAGTTGCAATCAGGAATAGCTCAGTCGGTAGAGCATGAGATTCTTAATCTCAAGGTCATGGGTTTGAGCCCCATGTTGGGCAAAAAGATTCCTTCATTGCAGGGAGTTAGACTAGATGACCCTTGTGGTCCCTTCCAAATCTACAATTCTTGCAACACTATTGCTTGTGAACCAAACTAAGACAAAGGATTTTCAGCACATGTTATGTGTCAGGTGGCTTACCAACACCTGGGTGTTGTGCCATCAAGAAACCAGTGTTGTTTTTGTGGTCTCTGCATTGCTAATCTCAAGGCTTGATTACTGTAACACACTTTGTGTGGGGCTGCCCTTGCACCTAGTCTGGGAGTTGCAACTAGTACAGAATGCACTGAGCACCAGAGCAGATTACTGGCCGTGTGTTACTCCATTGCTGGTAGAGCTGATTCTCTACCGGGCCAGGCTCAAGGTTCTTGTGTTAATTCACAAAGCCCTAAACAACTTGGGACCATCTGATCTCTTATACTCCAGCTCGATTATGGAGATCCTTTAATGGAGATCCTTGAATTCCACGCCCCTGATGTTCAGTTGGCCTTCACTTAAGGACTGAGCCTTTAAGATGGCAGGCGCTGCCCTGCCTGTAGGGGTTTGGCAGAAACTACCACGCCTTCTTTCAGAGGGGTGACTGACTGCACATGAGACGGCCTTCTTTGTGGTGGCCCTCCCAGGTTGTGGAATGTCTTCCCTCTGAGATGCATCTTGTACCGGCATTGTACAGTTTTCAGCACCGCACCAAGACACAGCTCTTTTGGATGAGTGGATGTTTTCTCTTGTGCTACATTAGTGCAATCCTATTTTGCTGCTCTTGTGACTTTGTTTAGCTTTGTGGTTTCCCCTGAATGAATGGTATTGTTGTTATTGTTTAGTCATTTAGTCGTGTCCAACTCTTCGTGACCCCATGGACCAGAGCACGCCAGGCACTCCTGTCTTCCACTGCCTCCCACAGTTTGGTCAAACTCATGCTAGTAGCTTCGAGAACATTGTCCAACCATCTCGTCCTCTGTCGTCCCCTTCTCCTTGTGCCCTCCATCTTTCCCAACATCAGGGTCTTTTCCAGGGAGTCTTCTCTTCTCATGAGGTGGCCAAAGTATTGGAGCCTCAGCTTCAGGATCTGTCCTTCCAGTGAGCACTCAGGGCTGATTTCCTTAAGAATGGATAGGTTTGATCTTCTTAATGAATGGTATACTGTGATATTTTATGTAACCTGCCCTGGGAGTATCCAGGGAAGGAGAGGCTATAAGTATAAGTTACCACATAAAATAAAGGAATGCATAATCTGGACACAGCGGGCCTACCAAAACCCATGTGCAAATCTGTCTTCTTGCACCAATTTGGCTGCTTATTTCAAGCTGCCCAAAGAAAGGTCACCATAAATTATTTTGCCTCCTTCAAACAAATGCTGACAGTGGTTATCAAACATTCGGAAGGGCATTTGGCAATCTATGACTTTAAAAGCCAAATGAAGGTCTAAATACGTAACGCATTTATGACCTCCATTCATAATTATATCCAGCATCAAGCTGACAAGTCGCAACGTAACTTTTCTAGTCTGACATTAAGAAAATAGCTGTGCAACTGGTTTTTCCCATGACATCATTGTTATTATGGTCGATGGGACCATATGCAAACCTGAATCTGTGCCAAGCCTGTTATGGATGGGGGCTTAAGGGCACTGTAAGGGGTTGAGGCTGGAGAGAGTAATGTGGCAAAACCTACTGACTGACACATCCAATTTTGCATTGCTTGTAAAAGCAATGCTTCACCGCATGCAGCTACGACTATATATAACATGCAGCGCATTCCTAATCTTCCCCAGAGTCTGGCATTTTATATTTCCACCTCAAATATCACTCCCACTTCAAAAGCATATTTCTACGTCCTTATCACTGATACCTACTAAATTTAATTACACTGTAATACAGGTCACTGCAGGAACCTCTGCACTCTGACTTCCCTGAACTGGAATATGTTGTTGCAGAGAATATCCTGCAAAGCCAGGGTGGGATGTTTGGGTGAGGCAGGGCAGAGGATGGACTTTCAGCCCATACCTATGTATGTTCACTAGGAAACAAGCCTCACTGAGTTTGATGAGATTTACTTCCAAGTAACCTCAGTAAGGACCGAAGAAGCGGCAGGATGCAAAAGTGATAAAAGAAATACAGTGGTACCTCAGAAGTCAAACGGAATCCGTTCTGGAAGTCCGTTCAACTTCCAAAATGTTCGGAAACCAAGGCGCAACTTCCGATCGGCTGCAGGAAGCTCCTGCAGCCAATCGGAAGCCCCGTTGGATGTTGGGATTCCAAAGAACGTTCGCAAAGCGGAACACTCACTTCCGGGTTTGCGTCGTTCGGGAGCCAAAACGTTCGACTCGCAAGGCATTCAGATCCAAGGTACGACTGTACTAGCATTTCATAAGAAGAAGTAGAGAATTGCCATAGCTGTTCAGATTCAGCCAGCCTAAGGTTTGTTTGTTTATGAATCGTTTCCTATAAAATATATTGGAAGTAAATTAACAAAAAAGACATCGACAATAAAAACATATATAAAACAATTTCATATATAGGGCCTGAACAACTTGGGTCCAGGGAGGGAGCCTCTACCCTTGTGGTCTGGATCCAAAGATTACACAGGACATTTCCCCCTCCTGCTTCAGAGTACAGGAGCTCCATGAGTGTTAGCAACTTCAGGAATTTTTCCAGGGGGGCAGGCAAAGTAAAACACTGCAACGGGACTTCAAGATAATTTATCACCCCAAAAAATGAGGGCCAGCACATTTTGCCTCCTATCTCGGATTATAGAAATTCAAGAAACTTTTTTTTTTTTAATGGAAGCTTCAGATCTCTAGATTATGCTTCATTTTGGTGCTGGGGGAGGCTGCACCCTCCTGTGGACACCCATGTCCACATGGAGGATAACACCAGTGAAATAGTCATTTTCTTTGTAGGTAAGATTCAGAAAGGGACGTAGGTGGCGCTGTGGGTTAAGCCACAGAGCCTAGGACTTGCCGATCAGAAGGTCGGCGGTTCGAATCCCCGCGATGGGGTGAGCTCCCGTTACTTGGTCCCTGCTCCTGCCAACCTAGCAGTTCGAAAGCACGTCAAAGTGCAAGTAGATAAATAGGTACCACACCGGCGGGAAGGTAAACGGTGTTTCTGTGCGCTGCTCTGGTTCGCCAGAAGCGGCTTAGTCATGCTGGCCACATGACCCGGAAGCTGTATGCCGGCTCCCTCAGCCAGTAAAGCGAGATGAGCGCCACAACCCCAGAGTCGGTCACGACTGGACCTAATGGTCAGGGGTCCCTTTACCTTAAGATTCAGAAAGTATGTGAAACAGCGCTTCTGGAACAAGACTTCCACAGGAGATCTCAGAGTACAGAAGGGTTCGTATGGAACAAAATACCTTTTCAGTTTTGCTTATGTAGGCTGTTTATATCTTGAACCGAGCCTTTAAATTTAACTGGCAACCACTGAAGCTTTCGTCAACTTTGGGCTTGTGTTTGTTCTCCTCTGTCTGCCCTGTGGAATATCCATTTCCTTCTCGGCTTTTTACAGGTGATCAATCTGTAGAATGGTATATTATGCCTTCAGTTAATGGAGAAGGATTTCCTTCATTACCAATTAGGATTGTTCCCACATTAATATAACGGTTCAGTTCAGGCCCACTCTTACTAATGAAAATGAATGCTTTTAGGGATATTTTTAAGAACCTGCGATAGTCAAAGAAGTAGCCGGGTGACACCAGAGGGCCAGTCTGGTGTGGGTGTCTTATATACAGCTTCCAGATCTGTTGCCTACTTTCACTCTGGGAAAGTTTGATTTTCAGATATCTCAGGGGGTTGTCATGCAGAAGATGGAGCAGACTTGTTCTCTCTTGCTCCAGAAAGCAGAACTGGAAGCAACGGGTGGCAATTGTGGGGAATCAGATTTTAATTTTTTTAAAAGTAGGACAGTAAAATCTGTTCAGCAGTGGAACTTTCTGCTATGGGAAGCAGTGGGGTGGGGGTTTTTTGCTGAAAAGAAGCTTGCATCCTGCTTTGCAGATCCTGCACTGAGCAGGAGGTTGGTCTAGATGACTGCCGAGACCCCTTCCAATTCTATAATTCTTCCTCGTGCTTGACTGCAATCTGACTCTATCCACCAAGGCATTTGGGCCCCCTTGGGCATTAAAATGTCTTAGCCCGATAAAAAGTACTATAATTAATGCAATAGAATCATCAGTGCCCTACAGCTAACAGTCTGTTGGATTTTATTGCTGTATACATTACGCCAGCAAATATGCATTTCAAAATAAGTCTCATTAGTGAGATTGTTAGGAGCCCCTACACAGTCTTGTGTGCCTCCCGGGAGCTCATCTCCTGTCAGAAATAGTTGTCAGTAAGATACCAAAATGCAGACCAGCTTACAATATTCTAGGGGAGAGGGAGTGCAAGGCTTTGCACTCAAGCGTTTCAGGGGTACAGAAGGTTTTACAGACTCAAAGATTAGCTTATTGATCAGTCCTACTGCCCCGGAACAATATTGATTTGTATTTTCTTCTCGTTTAACTGTCCCTGAAACATATTTTCAAGTTAATTATCCTCGCTGCCTTGGCTGGAAGGCAGATGCAATGTGCTTTGGATACATGGTGACACACAGGTTTAATCTGTATATTTTAATGATCAAAGCAGTGTCATCGAAGGACCTGAGCTTTAGTGTGCCTGCTTAGGCTGGCATGATAAGCTGCAGTGCAAAGGTACTTAACTCTGGGACTGGAGAAAATATTTCTGCTATTTGTCTGAAACTGGTCACTTACCCAGTCCTGGGGAGGGTGGCGGTTGCAGCCTGTCATGGCAGGCATTGCATCTGGGGAAGCAACGCTGGACTAGATGGCTAGCCATTGGGAAATCCCATTGGATTGGCGGCTTTTTCCACCATCATGAGTTTGAAACTGGCCAATCCTGCCAGTCCGGGTGGGCGTGACTTTGGGAGCGGACTGGAGTAGAACACCATTTTCTTTTGATTTCCTGGGCAGGAGAGAAATCAAAATATTCAGCCAGACATGTGCATC